AGAAAGAAAGAAAGAAAGAAAGAAAGAAAGAAAGAAAGAAAGAAAGAGGAAGGGAGAGAAAGAAAGAGGAAGAAAGAGAAAGAAAGAAACAGAAATAGGGAGAGAGAGTTTGTGGTGTGTGTGTCAGAGAGAGAAAAAGAAAGGAAGGGAAAGACAGAAAGAGACAAAGAAAGAGAAAGAAAGAAAAAGAAATAGGAAGGGAGAGAGAGAGAGAGACAGAGAAAACTCTGTGCTATTATTTTTAATTGTTCTATTATTTATCATGTGTTAATATTTTACACTGTCCCTACGCCTAGAGTGATTCTACTGCCTTTCTTTTGCCCAGGGCTACCACATATTTTTCAGGGTTTACATGCATTCAATGTCTATAGTCCAGAGCATAAATACATGTGTGTTTAAAGGGACTTTGGAGGTCTTCTAGTCCAAGCCCCTGCTCAGGCAGGAATACTGAGGATGCCGAACTCTGAGTAGAGGTCCTGGGAAAGGGGTCAGAATAACACTTAGAAGGGACTTTAGGGGGAACCCTGTACCATTTCAGAGAAATGGCTGTCCAGTCTTTAAAAATTTCCAGTGATTGATCACCCTGAACATCTGGGGACAAGCAGGTCCACTGGTTAATTGTTCTCACTGTCAGAAAGTTTCTCTTTATTCTTAGTTTGCTTCTCTCTTTGTTCAGTTTCCATCCATTGCTTCTTGTTTGCCTCCTGGTGCTTTGGAAAATACATTCCCCCCCACTTTCTTTCTGGCAGCCCCTTAAAAGCCTGTTGCCTATCACACTCTTGAGTAAAGCATGTGAGCCATTATCTCCTTTCAGTGGTCCATGAAAGTACATCTATAGTACGTAGATAATAGAGTCAAAAAAGGTGAACAACATTTTTACAGAACTATAGATAAGTTGAGGCTGGGTGACAAGGAATGGCTGGGAGGGGAGGGGCCAGGTGAGGCACCCCTTGATGTGAGTGACATTGAGTTGGCCACGCCCACCTAGTCACATGGCCACCAAGCCATGCCCACCCAGTCACATGACCATCAAGCATGTCCACCCAGGCACATGACCACTAAGCCACACCCACCCAGTCACATGACCACCAAGCCACGCCCACCAAATAAGCCACGCCCACAGAACTGGTAGTAAAAAAAATTGAATTCCACCACTGATGCGAGCCATCACCTATTGCTCTTCTGGGTTCCAGCGCACTGGCCAGCTGGTCTTCATGGACACGGAAGCTCTGGAAACTGGAAGACCAGCTGCCCAGTGTGCATGCTCACACCAGGAAGCTGCTCTTCAAATTTCTGGTGCGTGCATGCACACTGGCCACCTGGTCTTCCAGTTTCTCCTTCATGTGCGTGTGTGAAGATTAGCTGGCCAGTGTGCATGCACATGCCGGAAACCAGAAGATCTTCCCAGCGCACATATGCACACCAGCTGGCTGCTTTTCCAGTTTCTGCTGCGTGCATGCGCCCCAGCCAGCTGGTCTTCATACACATGTACACCAGAAACCAGAAGACCAGGTGGCCAGTGCACATGTGCACACCAGAAACTTGAAGAGCAGCTTCTGGTTCCTGGTACATGCAGACAGTCCCATTTCAGCACTCGGTACCAAAAAGGTTCACCAATACTGCTCTACAGTAAAGATTTTCAGTGTTTTAAATGGCAAATCCAATGGTACATGTGTCAAAATACCTCAAAAACATTATTATTGTCATTATCACCATAAGTCAATAATTATTATCATTATAGTAATGATAATTATCAGAGTCAACATAATGCATGAGAAAAAGAATAGACAGCTGTCAAGCCTGGATTTGGCTAGATTGTGGGGTTGTTTGTAATCTGGGTTATTCATATGAATTCAGCTTCACACGCATGGGAGCTAGAAGAGGGAGAGCTGAGGTGGATGAAGGTTTGGCCAAAACAACATAGCTGGCTGATGAGTCAGTCATGTTCCAATGGATGACTGGCCAGAGGAAGGAGGAGCAAAGTTGCCAAGCAACCAGTTCTCATCCTGGTTGGAGAATGTGACATATTGTTTTGAAAATTGAGAAAATCCTATATATAGTGATGTGGAAAGCCCGGAAACTTTCAGTACTGGCTTTCCACTAGTTAATGCCAAGTGGTGTATCTAAATAAACTTGTTCTCTGAGGAAATTGAATGCCTCGGAATTCGTTTTATGATGAGTACACCATTCCCACCTGGGCTGAGTTGCCATTTAAGTTGTCAACTGCCTCGCCAATAATCTATTCGTATTTTATATCCCTTCCATTCTTTTCCTGGTCTTCCATAATCACTCAGAGATAGCTGGATACAACTAGTTACTTTTTAGTTTTTACATTGTTTCTTTGGTACAGGGTGGAGTAAGTACTGCTGTTTGCCATTGCTATCAAGGAAGCATTGACAAGGCCATTGACAGAGTTAGGCGGCCTCCTGAGAAATCTGCACAGATCCTGCACAAGCGTAGAGCGCCGACTGCTGAAACTGGTCGCACCAGCACAGAATTCATACAAGGAATTGCATGGAGTTCATCAGAGTGCAGAGCTTACGTTACATCCTGGTGTAGTTACATCCTGGTTACATACACCCAGACACTTTATGGAAGGAAGGAAGGAAGGAAAGAGAGAGAAAAAAAGAAAGAAAGAAAGAAAGAAAAAGAAAGGAAGGAAGAAAGAAAGAAAGAAAGGAAGGAAGGAAGGAAGGAAGGAAGGAAGGAAGGAAGAAAGAAAGAAAGAAAGAAAGAAAGAAAGAAAGAAAGAAAGAAAGAAAGAAAGAAAGAAAGAAAGAAAGAAAGAAAAAGAAAGACTTGTAGGAAAAATACAAAATGATGAAAGGGTGCTATCAAATGTCTGGGTGATACTTTGTGCCCCTACAAGCAAGTATTTTCTTCTAGGCAATTTCTATTTCAGGTTCAGTGTTCCAAATGAGAAATGAGATTTTTTCACAATAGAGAATAAATGAATCACTCTAGGTAAGGCACATTTTTTAAAAAAAGTGGAATGGTCCCTCACCTCCCTGCTATAGGGAGGTTATTAAGAAGAAATTAAATATCACAGAAAAGTAAAATGAATTTCAAAAGCACATCTATAAATACGATGTCTTAAGTGTATCTCATATTTCTATGAATTTATAAACTGTTCCAAAGAACAATGGCCTGCAAAAGCAAAATAATATGACCTTTAGTAGCAAACTAATCTATTTTACAATGCTTTACAAGAGTGATTTTAACTCAGTTATTCTATAAGTATTTATTAACAGTAATCTGCCAATAAGGCTCATGATGCAGTTGCCCTTCAGGGAGCTTTTGATGATCACAATTTGATAGAATAGGATGCAATTTAAATTCTTATCAAGGTACATCAATTAAAAAAATTATTTACTTTTTAATTTAATTCTATATAATTAAAATTTCTTGTGTAAAATAATTATTCCAATATTGGCTGCTATTGAAACTTAATTTAATAGGATGAAAATTTAAAGGTACTGGGTTAGAAGGTTGTTCTTAAAGAGCCTCAAATACTACCGGTAAGTAGAAAAAGTGTGAAGATTTGTCTGTTATCCCTTGATAACTTCTTTGTATAAAGTCTTTTTGGATGAATTCATAAGAGGTCAATCGTGTCTCACGGACTGATAATTTCCAATTCATTATGAAAATATTGCTTCCTCTTGCTATCAATAATGCCATTCAAAAATGTCAGCCATATCTGCTCTCTCCACTACCTAATTCTGTCCTGAGTTACAGTACAAGATTTCAAATGCACCAATAATAGCAAATTAGTAATTCTTCATATAACATAAACAGAAAAATTAATTTTAAAAAACCCTCACCCACAGAGCATCAGTGTTGTCACTTCTCTTGCTGTTCTACCTATTGCTATATTCAAACATGAATTTAAAAACTGTCACAAACAGTAATAACTGTTATACTTGATATATTTGCTCTAGCAGTTTTTTTAATATGAATTTATTTGGACCATTTGCAGATTTTTATTCTATGCTAAGTCACAACTAATGATTAGCATTGACAAATATGTAGTTATGAAACATGTCACTTGCTGCAAACTCCCATGTTTTTAATTGCCTTTTCAACCATTTTCACTTTGCCTCCTAAAGAATTACCCAGCAAAGAGCAAGCAAGTTTATCTAAACCTGAAATGGAAGAATCGTACCTGTGATAGATTTAATTGTGTCAGTAGATGCTGTATGCCCAAGTAGGTCATATTGAACTAAACTGGAAGATTCTTCAGGGACTTCCACTGAATTTTTTGGCCCCTTTGTCCAGGTGTAGATCATTTCACTTTTTGGATATGCATCTGAACAAGATATATTTAGAAAAAAATTAATGGACAAGATATTTATCTTAAGAACTTATCTTAAAACCCAGTTGAAAGCATTCCTGTTGCTTTCAGGGGCACGAGCTTTCTTTTTTGACAAAGACACAAGCCTGTGGCTATTTGCTGACCTGTTTCTTACAACAAGAACAAAAATGGAGCTTTAGTACCACAAGTAAAATGTCATAATCGGGACTTACAGCTTCCAAATTTTAGCGGACAGGCATGTCCATCCATTGGGAAATCCACCAATCTCATGGGGCATTCAGCACTTATGGTGAGCCTAGAGGAACCATGTAAAATTAGTCCTGATATAGGATAGTACATCAGCAATTAATAAATCATGTAAACGTACAGAATATATAAAGTAGGTACCTCATTGTATAGAGAATGGTGCCATTTCTCATAATTCTAAATAGTTTATTTGGGGCTGTCATGTTATGAGACACAGATTTTTTTCCATTCCGAAAGAAAGTATCTGGGGTCCACACTTTATTAACCATCAAGTTGTTTAATCTTAGAATTTCAATGGGACCATCATATTTTAATCTCTTATCCACCCATGTCTGACGAAAGAAAACATCCATTGTGTATTCCTACAATAATTGGGAAGCAAATTAAACAACGTTATAAGGTACATGCATTTCCCCAAGGATAAATCAGCGGTAGGAAACTTTCCGTAAATACATTTCTATCAATTCAACAGAACTATATATGATAGTTATATAAATAAATTACTAAACATACTAAATCAAAATAATTAGTGTAATCTAATAGAATGGCAAGAAGCATGTAATTAAACTTGTTCAGGACTGGAAACGAAATGAAAATTCACTAACATATGTTAATGATTTTATGTCCATGCTATTTTGGTTGTTTTTACAAATGATTAAAATTTGCACTGGGAATATACTGTATGCTTATAGCAAACAAATGAAGGAAATGTTATTGAATTGCAACCAGTAGAAATGTCACTAGGTTAATCAAAAAGGGAAGAAGATTTTCCACAAAATAGTAAGTCTTCTGATTTCAGCACCATTTATATGTAAGATACAGAATCATTTTAACTGGGCTCTCAGCATCTAGGCATACTGCTCACTAGAGAAGATTTGCATTGGGACATTCTCAGGAAGTCTAAAAAAATCAAGATAATGGCCACAAGCACCTGATCAAGGCCTTCCCCTTTCTTAAAATATGTTAGTGGGGGTAGATCATATAATTCTGGACACCATTTCTAACTCTATCTGGAAATGGTTATGCAACTATTGCAATGTTTTACAAGTGTCAACAACCGAATAAAAATAAAAATGCATAGGTTTTTCCTTTTTTAAAAATATGAAAGACCAGAATAGAAGCTGCCATAGCCATGTGCAATAAAGCCTGAAAATGCTGGTAATCTGTTCTTTTTTGCATGAATAACAGGTGAGTCCCAAAGTCCTTCATTTAGTCACACACTTAGTACTAGGTTTAATTTTTTTCCTCCTCAAACCTACAACTCATACTTACCATTTCTACATCAGAAACAGGTCCAAAACTTGTGACATAGATATCTGTTTTGACTTCAGTAACAGGACCTAATGTATAAAAAGAAGGTAACCAAGGAGAATTGAATTGTTCCACATCAAAAACTGGGGGGAAATTATGCAGACAAATAATGCCAGGAACAATTAATTGGCATCATATTAGGAAAATGAAACACTTACATGTAAGCAGCTGTATTTACAGATTCCTGTATAACATGGATTTCCATATACTTTTACATATTTTCCTTTGTTTATGCAAATACCATTCATATACAGTTTTGTAGTGTTCCATTTCTCACTGACATGGGTAAGAGAATACATATGCATGAAAATCTAATTCTATACTACTTCAACAAGGGAAGATAAAATGTACCACTCTATTTTTAAAAGATCTCCTTAGGCATATTATTTATTTACCTACAGTAAGTTGTTCTATCACTTGCTGTATGTTTAAAAACCAAATGCCCTTAAGCAATAGCACTTAAGACTTACATAGTGCTTTACAGCACTCTCTGAATGGTTTACAATGTCAGCATATTGCCCCCAACAATCTGGGTCCTCCTTTTACTGATCTCAGAAGGATGGAAGGCTGAGTCAACCTTGAGCCTGTCAGGATCAAATTCCAGAATGTGGGCACAGTTAGTCTGCAATACTTCCTTCTAACTAATGCACCACCAGCGGTGTAATTTTATTGAGGGCCGCATCAGCATTATGGTTGCCCTCAAAGGGCCAGTTGCATGTAAGAATATGATGACTCACAGCAGGCAGGTGGGTGTGCCTGGGTAGGCATGGCCGGCTGACTCGGGACAGCTGGGTCAGAACGGAACAAGTTGCACCAGCTAGCTCACCATGGGGACAATTCAGTGCCCCACAAGCTCCTTGCCTCCCCAAACTGCTGGCAGCCAAGCACATGCACATGTGTGCGCACGCACACACACACCCCCCCACACACACACTGCATTCCAAGTTTGAGGACTTTTATATACAGAGGAAGGAGGGGGCCTTCTCCCCAGCTCAGGCATGATTAGCAGTTTGCAAGCTCAGATGTGGATAAAAGTCTCCAAGCTTGGAATGGGGTGTGTGTGTGTTGTGTGTGTCTCTCTCTCTCTGTGTGTGTGTGTGTTGTGTGCATGCATGTGTGTGTGTGCATGTGCACATCATGCCAAAGGAGACGTTCTTCTCCCAATCATTGGCATCTCCCTGTTTGGTGACCTCTCCCAGCAAAGGAGGAGGTAGAAGATGACACTGCTACATGTGGAAGCAGGGAGGAGAAAGTTTGCAGGAAGCAGCTTCTTCCTCCAAGTGCAACTTCTGCCTTGACAGATCTCTGGAGAGCAAGAGGAGGCGGCAGGGGAGCAGAGAAGCTGGCCCTTCTCAAAAGGGGAATCCCTGTTTCTAATTGTGTTTCCAATTGTGTGTCGTAAGGATGCTGGCTTGTTGGGGCAGCCTTCCCTCATACAACTCCCCCACCACTTCCTCCTCTTCTCTAGAGATCTGTCAAGGCAGAAGTTGGACTCAGAGGAGACTTCTTCCTGCAAACTTTCCCCTCCATGCTTCCTCCGTCTCCTATGGGGAACCAGGCAAGGCTGGGAGGCGGAATCTGCAGTCTCCAATAGAGGAAGGCGAGACCAGGGTGAGCACCAAATCACCGTGACATCAGCTCCGCCTCCTACAATGTTTCATTTATTGTTTTCTTCTTTGTCTATTATGGAGGAGCTCCTGCTGGTTTTTTTTTTGGGGGGGGGGGGATTTGATGAAGGCCCGCTTAGGATAGCTTTTGAGCATTTTGAGGGCTTCCTTGGTGTATTTTAGTTCTTTTTCTTTCTCATCTTTGCTGGTAGGCAGGCCTTCAGATCGGTGGTGTAGGGTTCTGATAATTCCCATTTTGTTGTCCGGGGTGGTGAGAATCAAAATGTAAATATTGATCTCTGTGTGCATAGGGGGCAGGGAGGCGGGTGTCTGTAAACTTCAACATTAAGGCTTCTGTCTTCCTTAAATATATACTGCACAATCCAGGAAGGCTAGACTATTTTCCTTAACGTCTTCTCATGTGAATTTGATGTATCTGTCCACAGAGTTGATATGTTTGGTGAATGCTTCCAGTTCCTGTGTTTTGATCTTGACCCAAAGATCGCCCATATACCTATACCAATGAGTGGGTGGAATTCCTGTCAATGATTTTAGGGTTTTGGTTTCTACCTCTTCCATGTAAGATTGGCATTGGAGTTTGTTTTTCTGAAATGCTGACAGAATGCAAATGACCAGCTGTGTACAAGGAATATAAATTCTTCCATTCCCCACCATCAGAGCTGAAGCTTCTTGAATGAGAAGTGAAACATCTTCAAAGAAAAACAAGAAAGTTGAGTTGCCTCTTGAAAAAAAATCACCTTTGGGACAACCATGACCTGGATGACTGAGAATCTTCACAGATATTGAAATATTACTATCATGTCTCCCCTAGTGCTTTTTTTCATTAGACTACACATACCCAATTCCTGCAACCATTCTTCATATGCCTTTGTCTCCAGTTCCCAAATCATCTTTGTAACCCTTCTTGCATTCTTTCCAGAATATCATCTCTTTTACATTGTGGTGACCAAAGCTGGATGCAGTATTCCAAATGTGGTTTTATTAAGGCTTTATATATTTCTTTTTCCCAACACTTTATTGGGTTTTTCTGTTTATACATAATACCATCACTAATTGAACAATACTGTGACAATATATATGCATTTATACATCCTATCCAATCTTTCAATACACACTATTTCCATACCCTCATAACTATTATATACATTATTTACATTTTCTATTCTTATGTCTATTATCAATCCAGATATACCATGTTTCCTATATTGCATTGTATTCCATGTCACCTTTCCCTTTTAGTTCCATAGTTAATTTGTCCATTTCCATGCACTCGAAGGTTTTTTTAATTATTAAACCTATGGCATTTTTCATCCAGTACTGTGCATACGAAATTCTAGCTGCTGTTACTACATGTAATATAGGATATTTTATCTTCATGTTACAGCTTCTTTTAATTATTCCTAAGAGAAATAGTTCTGGGACGAAACCCATTTTATTTTCAATCATCTCCTCTAACCACATATGAATTGCTTTCCAATATTTCTTCGCTTCAGGGCATGACCACTAAGAATGAAAGAAGGTACCTTGTTGATGTCCACACTTCCAGCAATTTGGTTTTAGACTTGGGTATATCTTAGCCAATCGTGAAGGTGCCATATACCAACGATAGATTTTGTGTTGGTTTTTCTTGTAAGCCACTGACTTTGTTATTTTATAATTGGTATTCTAAATCTTTTCCCACTGTTCTAAATCAACAGTGTGTCCAAAGGCTTTATAAAGCAGAATTAATACTTCATGTGATCTTGATTCTATACTTCTATTAATGCAGCCTAGGATTGCATTGGTTTTTTTGGCTGCTGCTGCACACTGCTGGCTTATATTTAAGTGGTCGTCCATTAGGACTCCAAGATCCCTCTCATAGTACAATTGGTTTTCTTGCCTAAATGTAAAATCTTACTTTTATCTACATTAAATTTCATTTTGTTAGATTGGGCCCAGTGTGCAAGACAGTCAAGATCCATTTGGATCTTGAGTCTATATTCTGTGGTATTGGTTATTCCTGCTAGTTTAGTGTCATCTGCAAATTTGATGAGTTCTCCTTTTATTTCTTCATCTAGATTATTTATGAAGACTTTGAAGAGTACTGTGCCCAAAACAGAATCTTGGGGTACCACACTGCTTATTTCCCTCCATGTGGATGTAGTTCTATTAAGGATTACATGTTAAGTACCGCTTGTTAGCCAGTTACAAATCTATCTGGTGGTTGTGCTGTTTATCCCACATTTTTCTAACTTACCAAGAAGTAGATTGTGGTCTATGTAAACTGTTAGCCAGTGACTGATTACAGTTTACAGTTGCAATATGTTAGCCAGGTTGTGGTCTACTTAAAATGTTAATCAGTTACAAATCCATCTGGTGGTGGTACTTTCTATCCCACAGTTTTCTAGCACACCAAGAAATAGGTTATGATCTAAGATAACATAAAAATAGAAGTTAATAAAATAATCCCTCTCTAGGCTGTAAATTAGGAGTAACAGAAGAAAATGAATAACATGTAAATAACATGTGTACCTACAATACTTTTCCCTTTGGGAGTAAACAAAGTTATACAGATCACAGAAAAATATGAAATACCAAAGAAATTAATGGCATTATATAAAGAATTAAATTTAATTTATACTATCACCATCTATAATATCCCTCTCTATATATATTTCTGTCCTTGTAAACCATCCTTGTTTCCATCACTTTGCAATACCACTTAATACACTGCCTTTTGTTTTACATTTCTCATTTTTCTCTATTTTAGGATTTCACTAACTGTATTCTATCATGACTTTTTCCGTTTTCCACCCACTCATATTTTCTATACAAGGGATGCAAGAAATGTTAGCAGAACCATTTGGAGATCATCAAAGAGAATGTTAACAACCATATAGCCAGGGAGTGGAAGGAACATTAGAAAGAGACTCAAAATAACATCCTTTGTAATGTATAAAAGGGGCTAAAGGGAAATTCTGGCAGGATTTGAAAATCCTGTGATTATAAGAATAGAGAGTTCTGGTGGCACCTGATTCCTGAATTAGCAAGAACTTTGGCGGAAAGTGACCATGTTATATTGGAATTCAATATAATGCAGACACAAGCAACAGAACATAATTAATGTGTCTTAGATTTTAAAAGAGCTGATTTCAATGAACTTAAGAGCGTCCTTAAGAAGGATTCCATGGATGAAAATCTTAAAAGGGAAATCAACTCAAAAGTTTGGAAAACTTAAAAAATATGACCATAAAAGCCCAGACCAACCCAATACCACTGAAAAAGAAAAACAAGAAATCCAGGAAGAAACCAGCATGGTTACACAAAGAACTCTCTGGTAAACTAAAATACAAAAAGGACAAGTATAAAAAATGGAAAGAGGGAAAGCTAACTAAGATAGCAGAAAGTCTGAATCTGCAAAG